AAGTGGCTATTGTTCGGGATGAACAATACTAAGGAAGGGGCAGTGTTACGACAGCGGAAGTCACGTGACCCTAGTAACACATCATGAGATTATAGAAAGATCATGTTTGTTGATGGCAACTCTTGTCTTTTCTACGCGCCATCTATTCTTGTATATAAGCGTGCCAGATAAAGCGAGACAAGGGATTGTAATGAGAATAATTGCAGATTGAAGAGATAGAGACAGATAATTGAGTCAAGTCGTAAGTAAAGTGCGTGAATCGCTGTGAATTATAGCGTGTGTTGAAGTTAAAGTGACTGTGAAAATTCTGTGTGTTGCAAAGTTATATTGAGAAAGAATAAACTAGTTTTATTTAAGAAAGGACTTGTATCGCTGAAGTTCTTCGGGAAGAAATTTTATGGAAAATTAACAAACGAATAGAGACGTAACAGTATCATACTATGTACGAACAGTCAAAGAATGTCAAAATGTTGTTTCGATATTCGTCATTTCACCGTGACTTTATTTCAGCTGTGGTTGTAACATGAATTGCTTATTTGCATATTTAAAATTGATTAAGTATAACATACTCAACCGTGTATTCACAAAAGATGTTAATGTTCTACTTGTGGAAAAAAAGGTTGAAGGTGGTACTAACCTGAAGATATATAGTTATCATTAAATAATTAGTTTGTTAGTAGTGCACGATTATCCGTATATGGAAGGAAAATATTCCAGCATTAACAATTTGATACATGTGTTTGTTATGCTTAATAATGAAGATTTAAAAGAACTTCATAGATGAAATCCACTTCAGGTGATATAACGCAAATTTGTGTAAAGAAAATAGCTTTTTGTATAAGCCTTGTAACATATACAAATTGGAAGAACGTTACTGATGCTGTACCATAATTTTCAAAGATTGTTTATATATTTGGGCACTAAAATAGAATGATTTATAAAAAATATATATATTTTTTCAATGATTAATAAAACATTTAAATGTAATTAAATAAAACATAGAAAACCAGACAGAAGACAACAGCTTTACACTTTATTCACTAGATGGAAGTAGACAATTTCCAGCTGACAACATGGCGAATGTAAAAGAAAGGGTGTTGTATTGCAAGAAAAAATTAGAACAAGGCGTTGGAGAAGAAAAGGTTTGATATCTATGTGATTTATTAGTTAACTTGCAAAATATTGTTTGGTGAAATATAGGCCTGTAAATCATTATCGACTACAATTACAAATAGAAGCATTTGAAGAACCAAAATTTGTTGAACTTTAAAAATAAAGGTCATAAGCCTAGATTATTTCTCTAAGATAAACTAATATTAATAGGTACTATAATATTTAAACGTGAATTTTACCATTAATTAATTTCTTTGTCTCAGTGTAAATATATTTGACACTTTTTCGGGGTGTCAAGAAATACGTATATAAATTATAATTTATAATAATAATGAGAAGTTTACACGTGGAGTCTTGGTAAACATTTTCATTTCCTTACCACTGTACCAGGCATAACGAGATATCAGCATTAGACTTAGTTATAAAGTATTCATTCTACGTTGTACAGTTATAATTTTGATATTGCATTGTACTGAAAACCCATGCATATTAATCGGTCTAACATTGATGGACCTAATTTGTTAACAGCATGATTTCATGAGACTTGATAAAGTTAAGAATGATTTGAATAGTGAGCTTCAAAACTTGACTTTGAGGTATAACTTATAGGTTAATGTTAATCTGTGAAAGGTAATACTAATCAATGAAATAGTCCAATGGTTCTTAAGTGTACATTAGTCATCGATGTTAACATTGAGCATGAAGACTGAAGCACAAAAAACTGTAGGTATATGTGATGGATTTTTCTATTTTGAGTAAAGTTACTGTTAAAATAGTGATATCAGAAAAACGGAGTAGGCCTATTTTCAAAAACTATTTTGAAGAAATTTTCATACCAAAATAATAGTAGATTTCATAAGATGAAGTAAAACTAAAGGGTTTAAAAGTAAGTTTTATATGATGTTGTTGTGGGAAGAAAGAATAATGAATGATTTTCACTTCTTACAAATTTAAGTATGGAATGCACATTTAAAGATTTTTTTTTAATGCTTGAAACTTCATGCCCAGTGCCAATGTAGTTAACAATATAAATATGAGAGACATTAGGCATGATCTATAAGTTAATTGGCCTGATTAATTAACACTTTTAGTTTCTGCTCTTCAGGATAGCCTATCACCTAACTACAAGTAGGGCAGGGATCAGTGTCTTTACTTGAAAATCTGTCATGCAATTTTTGGCAGATATGCATAAACCAAATTACTTTCCATACCATAGTTGAAAGAAAAATAAAGAATTTTGAAGAATGTGTTAATACTAAGTCTTTAGATATTCAGTGTTGCTTTACTGATTTTGTTGTTTAATTTTGAAGTGAAATAACCCAGTGTCATTTTTTGCAATGGGGCATTACTTTGAGACAATCTCTCAATATTTCTCTAAAAAACTATGTGAAATAGTCACTTGACAGAAAATGTGTGTTGTCTATTTTATGCTTATTTGAAACTATATATGCAAATATATTTCTGTCTGTTTTTACAAGAGAGTATATTAACAGCATCCCTGACTGAACATTCTATGGTGCCTGAGGATTGATAGATGCTAGTATTACTTCTATTTTTAAAAGAAGATAAGTGTTACTCTGTAAATTATAAGCCAGTTAGTATTACATCTCTAGTGGAAAACTTCTATAGTGTATGGTAAAAATTTAGTGAAATATGTTGTAGACATTGAGCCAACATGATCCACTAAAGGGAAATCCTGCCTAAGCTGGTAAAAAAAAATTTTGAGAATGTTATTTGTTATCTTGATGATGGAAAGGATGCGGACTTGATGTGCTTAGACTTTCGAAAAGCTTTAAGTAAGATGCCACATAGAAGATTAGCTAAGAATATTACATGAGTGAGTTTTGGGAAAAGAGACTTGTTAATTGTCCAATTTTACCTTTGTTAATAGTGGTGTGCCTGGGGAGTTGCTTTGGGTCTTTGCCATTTATTTACATTAATTATATCAATAGGGGCATAATTAGTAATATAGTAAAATTTACCAAGGCCTGTAAACCTTTACATAGTTATAATAATATTGAACAAGCTGAGGTACTACAGAATGGCTTGGATCAATTGGTAACTTGGATATTAGCTAGCAAGTGGCCTCTAATTACAGTAATTATAAGGTAATGCATTGCCTAGGAAGCAATTTGGAGTTGTAAGGCCATTTCCACAGCTAAACAATGTGACACCCAATGTGTGAAAAAAAACATTTCCAGCATGAAAAGCATACCATTTCTAGGGAGGACTGGGGGCATGCATCCCCAGAAAAGTTTTGAAAATTTAATGCAATGAGATTGAATCTTGAGACATTTTAACTTGTGTATTTGTGCTAGCCTCTAAAGATAATAGGGCAAGAAGACAGAAATTTATAAGATTTGAAAAATTGCATGCTAGGCTCAAGTCAAAACTGGTTGGAAACTGCCGAAGCCTATTTTAGAAGTTAGGAAATTCTGAAGAGAAGGATTTGGAGCTCAGATGCATCACAGGCAGAAAAAGTTTGAGATGTTTTCAAATACTTTGTCAAACTAAAAGCTAAAACTTAGATAATATAGTAATATTAATTATAAAGTATGTTTTCATGCCAATTTTATTAACATACATTGATAATAAAGTTCTTTAATTCAATTTGAGACACTGTAAAAGGTCATGAGATGCACAACTTGACCTGGTCCTATGGAAAGAGTTAACTGAAAAATATTTTGAAATTGGTATTTTGTCATTTTGTAACTTACAAAAAAGAAAAAAAAAAATTGTTTAAATTT